TTTTTTTTTTTTTTAATTTTGAGGTAGGGTTTTTCTAAGTTGCTTAGAGCCTTGCTAAGTTGCTGAGGCTAGGTTTGAATTTGTGATCCTCCTGCCTTAGCCTCCCAAGCTGATGGAATTACAGGCATGTGCCACTGTGCCTGGTGAGAAATATTTATTATTTCTTACTGGTTACTCGGACAAATAAATACCCTATTGTTGGATTAATTAAATCTTTTTAATAAGAGCAAGTTTAGTTCTGTTATATTTATTTAGTTCTGTTAAATGTATATTAAAATTTTAAATGGATTAAAGTAATAGAGAACTGGGAAAAGGGGACTGTGTTAATTTGTGCTTATTAGAGTGTGTCTCAGTCAATAATATAAATGGTATAAATGATGACTATATAAAGAAAAGAAGCTAGAATGAATAGGCTTTGAAACTCAATATGAAAACAGTATTTATTGAATGATGACTTGCTTAATACCACATTAGCACATTCTTATTTTTCATTCATAGTCCTGACTCGAGGTAAACACTTCATGAGTATTTTCTGATGTACATACTTAAATCACAGGGTTATGAGATTACACCACAGTACCAGCAATACCAACAGAAGAATCTCCTCTCAGGGAGGCCATCAGTCTTCACTGTACTAATCATCAAGTAAATAAGATCTACAAAAAGAGTCAAGTAGCACATTACTTAACAATGCCATTTCTCCTAAATTGTTTTAGTACTTATTAATTTGTATTTTACAACACAAATCAGATATGTCTGTGATTAGAATTGTGTAAACCCCTGGAAAAAAATAGATACTAATTCTTACTACATGTAAAGATCTTCGTTTTTATAGAGAAGGGATGGATTTTATGAGAATAAGGAAAGAGCCATTAAGTTGATGGATTCATCATCTTTTACTGATTTGTACCTGGAAAAGTAAACTGTATAACCTTAATTAAGTGCCCCATGTTTATAAGGCTTAAAATGAATTCTGGCATTCATGAAATGTTAACTTAAGCATTGTTTTCTGACATTTGTGTCATGGCATATCAATCCTAGGAAATACCTTAACTCATATCAATTAATGCATGCTTTTGATGTGATTATTGATTTAATGTTTTTTTTTTCTTTTCTTTTTGAGTACAGGGGATTTAGCTCAGGGGCACTCAACCACTGAGCCAGATCCCTATCCTTATTTTGTATTTTATTTAGAGAAAAGGTCTCAATGATTTGCTTAGCATCTCCTTTTTTGCTAGGGCTGGCTTTGAACTCTCCATCCTTCTGCCTTAGCCTCCTAAGCTGCTGGAATCACATGCGTGTGCCACCACACTCTGCTTTGACTTAATGTTTTAAGAAAGAAAGTTTCACTGGGTGGCACTCTCTTCTAATCCCAGCAGCTCAGGAGGCCAAGGCAGGAAGATCTCAAGTTCAAAGCCAGTCTCCACAATTTTGCAAGCCCCCCCCCCAAAAAAGGAGGAAATTTCTTTCTATCATCAATATTTATTAAATCCACTTTTTAGCAATTCACAAGTCATATTATCTTAGGACTTTCAACAATTTTTAACAGACTACATAAACATATTCAATGATGTTTGTAATATTTCCTCAATTTTTTAGGATATATATCCTAATATATATATATATAGTATATATATATACATACATATATACATTTTGGACCATTGGAAAAATAGCTCCTTTAACATTTATAGCCATATTATATATATCTTCAAATGTTTTGGGTCAAATAAGCAATAGATATATATTTAATAAAACTCACTTATAATATACTTTTTCAAATCTTTTATTAGCAGATGTGAGCACTTTTTCAATAAGATATCTGATACAGAGATTATTAACAGGAGTAGTCCTTCAAGCCTTTTTATTTTTTATAAGCCCTGAAATGCTAAAGGTAATATCTTAAACAAATTATTTTCTTTAGGACACAGTGATAGTAATAAATATATTTACTTCTTGTTTTCCTTTATAATCTATGGCCTCATATTAAAACTGTAGAGCTCTCACTTTATTTGACATTTACTCAATAAATATTTTTGTATCTCCACAAAGAGGCTGGAAGTAAAATAAAGAGAAGGCTCCTGCATGCACAGAGCTCTCAGACCTACCAAGGAGATGGAAAGTAGTATCCATGTGATATAGTAAGTGAGAAGATAAAGGTAGGCACTGAGCGCTAGTGGGAAGTCTACCTAGGAGAAACTGTGGGGAGAAGGAGCTTTTCTTTAAAGGAGATTTTTGAAGTTGACTTTGGAATAACCTGTGAATGCAGATATACTGACTATAACAGAAATACTGAATATGAGGAGGAATGAAAAGAGGCCCCCAATGAAGGACAGAAGGTTTTAAGTTCAGAAGGTGGGAAGCAGGGGAGGGGAGAAGGGAGATGAGGGGCACATAGCTTTGGCATCATAATGAATCCAAGGCAACTGTAGCTGAGGGAATCTTGTGGAGTTAAAAAAAAAAACCAAAAGAACGTGAAAAGAGAAATTGAGAAGTGAGGTCAATGAGAGTTTTGTACACCATTGTGGAGGGCCTGCAGCTTGAAGTCAAGGAAAGAGAGAATCTTTGAAATGTTGGGAAATGACTGAGTGACATGATTGACTACAAGAAGGAATTCATTCCTAATATTTCTTACTCCTGACATATAGACCACCAATTTGGGCAAATACAGAATATGAGGTCAGGTGGGAACCTTCCATGGTCAGTTTTTATTGGGAAATTCATTGGGGAATATGTGGTTAATTTGTAAAGTGTTCTAAAAACCTCTTGTCATAGTCAACCACAAATAATCAGGACCATTTGCTAGACTGTGGGGATAGAAAGAAGTGACTTATGAAGCCATTACAATGTGGATCATGCAATTCTAGGAATTGATGAGAAAATCAAGATGATCAAGATGTCAGTCTGTTCTTTAAAGTTTTAGCCATATGATATGTCTATACATGTTAAATGAGATATTTTTTCAATGGTCCAAAATGTATTTTTTTGCAATAGTTCTAAATCTTACTATACATTTTTCTTCAATATTTCTGCTGCAAAAATTGGAATATTTTTAAGCCTGCATAGACATTTCTCTTAGGCATTGCAAAGACCAATAAATGTAAAATAAATGCATGCTTAAATAGTTCATGAAATCAAATATCCAGGCTAGTATCTACCAAATAACTTTCCCAAGAATTATGCTACTAAATAGATAGGATTAATTATTATTCAGAGATTTAGTGTCCACATTTGCTCAATTATCTTGTTTTACAAGTTTCTTTCTTCTCAATTTTAACTTAGAAGTGTTCACAGTTACCTCACGTAACATCAAGGGCACAATATGAGGATTTTGGAAAAATAGAAAACCTGTAAACCATGCTTAATTCTTAGAACTTATCACAAAATCATGCTACTGTGTAGCTGGCAGTGTCCTGAGCATTAGCGATAGGGACTATAAGAAAGGTAATCATAGCATTTCCCTTAAAGAATTTAGATTTTAAAAGAGAAAGTTGGCTTCAATACAAATGATCACCATAACAATTATGTAATTCTATTAAATATTTTTTGTGTGAATTCAAATTCTTTGTTAAAATTAAAATATAAACAGGGTTCAATATTATAATCACTGTAATATCTCATAGTACAATTGAATAGTTAGGTCATTTTTCTTTTTAGAATAAATAATTGTTTAAATATTCTTAACATGTTTGGGTTCCTAGAAAAGAGACAGTAATGCAGGGATTGGACATGCAAGAAAGGGATATTGGGGGAAGGAGCATGAGTCTTTAAAATAAAATGTGGGCTAGCTCCTGTTAAATGAGAGATAGAAGGTGGCATGTTTATGCTAGAAAGACTTACAGAGCAGTTTCAACAAGGTCACTGAAGATTCCTTAAAGCTAAAAAATTACCTATCACTAGAGCACTTCATCTTACCAGATAACCTTTGGTAACCAGCCATACTCAACATACAACATCCCACATGAAACTTAGCCTTGTTGCAAACCTGGCACATCCAAAAGACATAGGAGAAACACGTTTTCATAACTGCGGCAGTACATACAGAGAGAGAGCTTTGTTTGCTGTATTTTTGTTCTTATGAGTCCAGATCCTTAATGTTATTTTGTAATTAGTATAGAAAAAAAGTGTAGCTATTTTGAAGACTTGTCATACCTGCCTATTTCCAAATGGCACAGTATTTTTAGGAGACAAAGTAGAACATATTCATAAATAAACTCAGGACACATCATATTATAGGCTTGTCATCATTGGATGGTAATAGAGTTATTATAATTTAGATCTCTATGAATTGAAGAATCACAGAATGGTATTCAGATTTGATTGCAAAACGGTGGTTTTCTGACTACGTTTGGCATTGCCTTGTGACATAGCAAAACTAGAAACTCAGTTCTCAGGTTGGTCGCATTTTGAGCACAGAATTTCTCTTCATTGAAGGTATAGTGTTAGTCGCTTCCTGTTGCCTGACTGGGCTTAATGCCAGTCCTGCTCTTAAATTCCACTGGTCTCTGCTCCTCCCATTCACTTGTTCACACATTTGATTCTGTGCTGGGGCCATTGTGGCTGAGCATATGGAGGAACCTGCCTTTGGAGGACTGGAAACAACAGCAACAGCAGGCCTGCTGGTGGGGAAGCAGCATCTTGTTTTGTTAAAGTCAACCCTCTTCCTACTGAAGCAGCCCCAGGCAGAGGGGCCCCACAGCCAAGAATGTCAGGAAGCATAGAGTGTCCCAGACCTTCACCCAGATTGGCATCTCAGGCAGGAAGACAGCCTTTGCCTCGGGGATGTCACTGCAGAGTTTGATGGTTCTTGGTAATTAATCAGCAGCTTCAGGGACGGCAGCAGGCTGTATCAGGAAGAGTGAATGAAGATAATACTTCACATGAGTATAGAGGAAACTAGAATTATTCTCAGCAAAGATGATATCACACTGTCATCTCCTCTCCAGAGGAGCAGGTCCCTGCGTCTATAAAGAAAATCTATGCTCCTGACATTGTTCTGTCACAAGTTTTAGATATAACCTTGGGCATAAGTGAGTCTCAGCCTCTTCCACTGGAAAACGAAGAAGCTGGGAATGAGATCTTCGAGAATTCTTCCATATTTACTGTTCCCTGTGACTCTATTAACATCTTCCATCTCCAATAAAACAAATCCTCTTCCTTTCTCCTGAACGTGAGGACTTTTGATTTAATTTTCCTATATTTCTTCACCTAATACAGTTTTGGTAGGGTCACAATTTTTAAGGAGCTATCTAAAGCAACATTTCAGTTTTTTTTGTTTCACTGATTCTTCAAAATAAACATGCTTTTTATGCCTCTTATCTTGAGTCTGTGCAAATATATTATCCAACACACTTAAACTAATGCTACCCTATATCTTTGTATTTGTATTATGAGTCAATAAAATAAAACCCTCTGGAATTCTCTTCTAAATCCATATCCATATAATGTTTCTCACATTCTTCTACAATTTTCCTATACC